ACTTCTTCCAACACAGATCTGTTGGTTCTTTTGGCAGCCCATGGCACTTTCAATATTCTCCTCCAAACCGTAACTCAAAAGCATCAATTCTTCTACCGTCTTCCTTATTCACTGTCCAGCTTTTGCATGCATATGAGGTTATTGAAAATACCATGGCTTGGGTCAGGGGCACCTTAGTCCTCAGGCTGACATCTTTGCTCTTCAACACTTTAAAAAGGTCTTGTGCAGCAGATTTGCTTACAATCAAGATGGCGGATCGGGTAGAAGTGCCCTGAGGAGCTCTGTCACCAACAACACAGAATACCAGGCCAAGCAGGCTCAGGGAATGGTGCTAGAACTCTGAACTACATATAAAGGAAATATTTAGAAGATTGGAAGACTTACAGCTAGGGGAATTTGTAGCAGAATCGAGAAATCCATTGCTTTCTAATTCAAGATACTCAGCTAGTCCCAGAGCCGCCATCTTGGGAGAGACCAAGTGGGGGAAGGATCAGAACAGCCATGAACACCTGACAGAACCATGGAGATACAGGTATGGACATTCATTTTTTGGTATCTGTTCATTGGTTTTTCGCTGTCTGCTGCACCTCCATTCTGGTGACTAGAGGGGATACCTGAGTGAATGGATACCCCACCCCCACCCCTGGAGGGTTCTACTGCGCATGCACACAGATCTCCTCAAAATTTAAAATGACAGTTTCCACTTAAAACCAAACGGCTACCACTCATCTGTCAGTTTCTGGTACTGTGGTGGTTTGAGTTGCTATGATTCTGAAAGCTATGCCACCGGTATTTTAAATAACCAGCAGGGTCACCCAGGTGAACAGGTTTCAGATGAGCTTCCAAAGACAGACTAGGAAGAAAGAGTGACGAACTACTTCCGACTCTTTAGTCACTGAAAACCTTATGAATAGCAGAGAAACTCAGAATACTGGGGCTCAGAAAGCAAATAAACAACTCTCCTGTCTCCTGCATTTAATATAATTACGGGCTGCCCTCTTCCTTCGATCTCCAAAGAAGTACCCCTTTTTAAAATATTTCCCCATAAGCCATACATTCCTAACAGTTTTGTTTTCCCCTTCTGGTTTTAGAATAAATCCTTCGTGCTTTTCAGCCGGTACTCCCTCTAGTTGTTCTCAGTGGAACAAACTAGGTGTCTCCTTGGAGCAACCAACTATTTCTGTCTCAAGTTTTCTGGGTTGGTGACTTTTTTAAGGAAAGAACCCAAAACTTAGCTAAAAAACTGTAGCAGGGAGATCAAAAGTCACCATTAGAAAGTTGGTGAAACCTTTTAGGGGTGCCTTCCCTAAGTGAGGGTTTCAGGAAAATTACCCTTGTCGTTCTCTACGAAGTGGGTTTGGAAGAAGTTATTCATGGGGTTTGGAGGGTGGAATCAGCACGGCTACATCCCCAGCTCTGTAACACTCAGGCAGACCACTGTGGCTGGCTCTTGTTTTCTCTAGAGGCTCAACTTGTAGTAGCAGTCAGGAGGAGTAGGAGGAAGGCTGCTCTGATAATCTTCTTTGGGGAGCCTCCATTGTGCGGGATATTGTTGTCTGTTGTTAGGTACCATTGAGGGATTCTCACTCTGTGTAACAGAGTAGGACTCTGCCCCTTGGATTTCCTAGGCTTTAATTGTTATGGAATCAGATTGCCAGACCTTTCTTCCACAGAACCCTTAGGTAGGTTCAAACCACCAACTTTTTGTTTAGCGTCTGAGCACTTAATTTTTGTTGCACCAGAACTCCTTGCAGGTTATGGGCATGAAAATAAAGATTCCAAGGAAAACAGTATGGGGCACTTAAATAGCGGATAAGAAAAAAAAAAAAAATTAGCATGAAATACTTACAAAATACGAATGTGGTGGCTCTGTAGGATAAGCACTGGGCTGCAAACCACAAGATTGGCTTTCTGCTCTCCTGAAGACTTAAAACCTTCGAAACCCTAAACTGGGTGGCTATGAGTCAGAACCAACTTCAAGGGGCACTTAACAAAAACAACAATTGAGTTGAAACCAACTCAGTGGCACTTCATAACAATAGCTTTCAGAAAATAAACAATTGGATAAGAAAAGTTCAATTGATTTCAGTCTCTGTTAAGAACTAAAATGAGATGAGATAAACTGCAGCAAATTAGCTTGTATTCAGACAGTAGAGAGAATATTCCAGCTCGAAGAATAATTGGAGATTGGAAAGAGTGGGGGAGAGTGGACAATACCACTCTTTGGAGAGTATTTAGAATGATGTAGAAGATATGGAATGCTCTGGATGTTTCCTTTGTGGTTGCAGGGAATAGATGTGATGATGTGTGAGTGGGGAGCTTGGGGGTAGAGCTGAGGGCAGTTACAGGGACAGATGGCATCTGGGACAAGAAATGAAGTGGCCCAGCTTAAAAATTGCTTCCAAACCCTATTTGAGACTGCACTATAAATTCAGTGATGGATTTTCTATCCCCGCTTGGAGGCTGTCTGCGAAAATCCTGGATCCCAGCTGTGGTTATGCCAATACACATCACAGGGAGTCCTTGTGGGCAGCTAGGTGCCCAGTGTGGCTAAATTTCTTCCACAGGCTGCCACCATTAATCCCCATTTGTCTTTCCCATGCTGGTGAATAGGATAGGGCTTCTGTTTGGAAACACTGGAGAATATTTTCCAGCCCAGATTAAATACTGACATAAATCTTTCCAAATTCCTCCTGTGTACCCGCCCTGCACCAAAGGATCCCAAAGCTTCAGAATAACATTCCGAGCTGTGTTGTTCCCTTGATGTTGCCAGGCTGGAAAAACTGAAGGAGACACTAATGGACCAAGGAAAAGGGGAGGGAGAGTCCTATGCCTTATCTCCCTCTGTGTCCTTCAGTGCCTATTCTTTTAGCTTTTCTTTCACAGGATTACTTCAATCCCACTTTCATCTTCCCTTTACTCCCCCAAATGCTTAACTCGCTGTGCAGGGAGACATCTTCACATTTACCCTAGGAGTTGGGGCTGAGTTTGGGGAGCAGCATTTCCTGTTGGGAGACCTAGTATGGCACTGTGAAATAAAGCACTAGACCACAAGGTCAGTTTGAACCACAAGGTCTGCGGTTCAAATTCACAAGCCGCTCCTTGGAAACCCTATACAGGGTCACTATGAGTCAGAACCAACTCAATGGCACTTAACAACAACAACAACAACAGCAAAGTCTAAATCAGAGAGCTATTCCTCACCATTCCCAGCCAGAGATGCCTGGTCTGACAGTGACTGTCAAGTTAATTCCAACTCATGGTGACTTCATGTAAGTCAGAGTAAAATTGAGCTGTGGCACTGTGGTTAATGCGCTGGACTGCAAAGTCGGTTTGAACTGCAAGGTTGGTGGTTCAAGCTCATCAGCCACTCCTTGGAAACCCTATACAGGGTTGCTATTGGTCGGAACCAGTTTGACAGCAGTTCACAACAATGATAGCATCTTCAATAGTTGTTTTTTTGAAGTAGATAACCAGGCTTTTCTTCTGAGGTATCTCTGGGTAAGCTCCAACCTGCAACCTTTTGGGTGGCAGCTGAGCATGCTAACCATTTGCACCACTTCCCCAGGGGCTCTCAACCTAGTTCTAGGTGGTCGATATTGTGATTTTGTTGTTGCGTTGCAGAGTTCAACTCTATACAGTCTGGATGACTTTGAGACACCTTCTCTTTCCATCTTTTCAATGTAAAAAAACTCTGTTAACTTCTAAGTGGCAATGAGGGGGGAAAAAAGCTAATAATACTAATTGTTGTTGTTAAGTGCCATTGAGTCTGTTCTAACTCATAGCAACTCGGTATAGGGTTTCTAAGGAACAGTTGGTGGGTTTGAACTGCTGACCTTGTGGTTCGCAGTCCAGTGCTGATCCTACAGCAACACACTAGGACTACAAATCATACTAATAGAGATCATGTAATTATGTACCAGGTCAAGCACTTCCCGTGTGCTAATTCACTAGTTTAAGAAAAATAAGGAGTTGTTATTATTTTGCCTAAAGAGAAGAATCAGCGACAACTGACAATGAGATAAAGGAGAATTGACTTAAATGACAGAAGGAAGGATTTCCGGTAGACCCTGGACAAGCTTTCGATTGTTTGGCTTAAGGGAGAACTTTCTTGTAAGATGTTAGGACACTTTACTAAAGTAATTTTGTTTTTGGAAGAGCTTTTGGGAGAGATGGGCCACTTTGAATTTGAGCAGCAGGTATGATTTGCACAGGGGCAGAGAGGGGCAGAGATGCTGAGATGGAACCTGCTCCACCCTACGTTCCGTTCCTCTGATTGATTGCTAATGGAGCAGTCAGAACGTCTCCTCTCCCGAGGAGATGGCGGCTCTTTACTGTCACATTTCAGGGTCAAATGCTGATGAAGCACAGCATACACCATGGCATTTCTGATGTGAGAGTCTTTCTGAAACCAGAGTGGGCAACAGAGGAGGAATGCTGACTTCTAGGTGGGATGATAGGCAGCTGTGATTAAATACCTAGCCCTCTGTAGTACGTGGCACCTTACACATGTCTTAGAGAAGAAGGGAAGAAAACAAAAACAAAATCCAGCACTAAGAAGACCACAAAGAAAGAGAGACTTGAAATGAAAACAGCTCAGACTGGACACGATGTGTCTTGCACTTCGAACTCGAGGACCATACTGCTTGCTCCTGCCACCTCCTGTACTGTCCTTTGGGGTTGGTAGCCCTGTTATTTGGGAGGACTGTGCAGCTCATTAACATCGTGCTAAGTGACTGCTCTGCCCTCTGAACACAGGGAGAGAGAGGATGGAGAGGGAGAAGATGACAGCTCCATCCCCCTTGGGGCTTTGATGCTGCTGTTTGCACTCAGCAGGCTCTGCTTCAAAGCCCATTGCCAGTGGTCATTAAGAGCCCTCCTTTCCCCAGAGAGAGCTGGACTTTACTGCCAGACGCAGGGAGGTTAAATGCTGGCTCAGTACCTTCCAGCTGGGATAAAGGCATCAGAGGCCCTGGGATGATGTAAGTACCTTCTGAAAGAGAGCTGAAAAGCAACTAGCATAGTTCCATCTGAAATGAATATTTTCGTTCTTTGAGAGATGACCCTTTTGGTTCATTTAGGCATCTACAGGGAAGTGCTTGAAAAATAAAAAGCCCTGTGCAACACCCCACCCCACCCTGGAAGGCTCTGTGGTGGTCAGATCCATGTTCTCCTAGGAAGGCTCTTGGCCCCTCCACCAAGGGCTCCTTGTACTCCAGGGAGAGCTGACCAGAACAAGTACGGCATTCAGCTATGAGAGGCTGCACATTTTTTGCCACCAGCTGTTATGTTTGAAAAATAAATAAACACCAGGCCAGGATATCGAGGCAGGAGGGGATCACGTGGAAACAGAGATCATCCTCTGGCAGGTCAGTAAGAAAGCACAGATACCTAGGTTTCTTAGCAGCCCACCTTCTCCCTGGAAGTGAAACTTAAATCCCTAACCCTCTAGCAACTGCCCCCTTCCAAGCCTCTTCTAACTTGTCTTTCACTACTAAGCACAAGACTTCTTCTCAGACACATGTGTCTCCTGGCTGCTTCCTACCCATAACCTGTCAAATGACTGGGTCCTTTGTGGTGATCTCCTTCCCAGAATGGCTTTGTCCTGTTGTCCTTTAATCCACAGCCACTTAACCCTCAAAACCTAGATTGAAATTTACCTCTCCGGGGAAGTCTTCTCCCCTCCCAGCCCACTCCTCACTGAATTTTCTTAGCCCTCTGTTTCCATGTGTGCTGTTTGGTTTCTCCAGTGCAGGTGTACGGGTTGGGTTTCTCTGTCTTTTGTATTCCCACCAGCACTCAGCGCGACCCTACAGGACAGACTAGAACTGCTAATTAGGGTTCCCAAGATAGTTAGTCTTTGTGGGAGCAGACAGCCTCATCTTCCTCCCACAGAGTAACTAGTGGGCTTGAACCACTGACCCAGTGGTTAACAGCAAAATCCTTGGTTCATAGCGCCACTAGGGCTCCTTAGCACTTAGAATTGTTGTTATTGTTAAATACCATTAAGTTGGTTCCAACTCACAGCCACTCTGTATAGGGTTTCCCAGGAGTGGCTGGTGAGTTTGAATCTTAAACCTTTCAGTTCAAACTGACCTTGTGGTCCAGTGCATTCTCCTGCAGCACCATACCACAACACAGAATGGGGGTCTTTCAAATGAAATAGCCCTTCCCTTCCCTCTGTGTCCTGGTCTCACCATTGATCTTATTGCCTTGGAGGTAGAGGTTCTCCAGGTTGGTGCTGACTGGGGGGATCTTCTGCAGCTGGTTGTAGGACAGGTCCAGCTCAAGGAGGCTGCTGGCATTGAAGGTGTTAGAGGCCAGCCCACTGTTGGTGAGGCTATTGTGGGAAAGCCGTACATATAGCAGCTTGGGCGAGCTCCGGAAGTAACTGTCAGGGACACTGTAGACGTTGTTGTGCTCCAGATATAGCTGCTCAAGGGCTGAGGGCAGCCCATCAGGGACCTTCCGAAGGTGGTTATAACTCAAGTCCAGCAAGATCAGTGACTGGAGACCCTTCATTGCACTGCCCACTTCCTGGATCTCGTTGTGTTGGAGGTACAGGGCCGTGAGGTTCTCTAGCCCCTCCAGAGCATTGCTGGGGACGCGGGAGATCTGGTTGTGCTCAAGATGGAGCTCCTTCAGAGATCGAGGCAGTGGACCAGGCATCCGAGTCAGGTTGTTGTGGTCCAGGTACAACCTCTCCAGGTGCTTCAGCTTGGAGAAGACCTTCTTCCCCACCTTATCACTGGTGATCTGGTTGCCATGGAGAGCAATCCAGAGCAGTCCAGTAGCATTGTCGAAGACGCTTTCCTGTATGGAGGTGATCTGATTGTTCTGAAAGTAGACATACTTCATGCGGGAGGGGACGAAGGGCAGGTACTTGAGTTTGCGGTTGTCACAGTACATGGCTGTGGGGAAGTTGGGTGGGCAGTCACACTCCTGGGGGCAGTCGCGAGGCTCTGGTGGGGATGGAGAGCCGTAGGCATAGGCTGGACCTTCCTCCACCCCATAAGGATAAGGCTCATAGGGCTCGTAAGGGTCATAGGGATCGTAGTAGGTGGACTGCTGGCTGCGGAGGTAGTGGAACCACCAGTGGGGGTCTTCATCATACTGGGCCTGAGAGAAGGAGCAGAGCCCAGCCAGCAGCAGGAGGGAGGCCCACTGCATTTTGTCTCTGCAAAAAGGGAGAGAGAAGAGAGCAAGCAGGCATGAGTGAGGCTCTTTGGAGGCCGTGTGGCAGAGTAGACAAACCTGAGGTTGTGGGCTGGGCAGATCTAACTTCACTCCAGGCCCTGAGCCTTACCTTAGGAGAGGTACCTCCCAGAATCTGTTTGGCCTCCTACCAGAATTGGTTCTGCACATGGGGTCTGCAGTAAGCTAGGTGACCAGTGCATTTTCCACTGGTCACAGAGTCACAGAATACACTTAGACTAGAAAGAACTTAAATATAAGTAAAAAGGCTTCTTTTTCTTTTTTCCGGCGGGACATAGCTTTACGGGCCTCTAGGAATCTAGACATGTTGTCAGGAGGGATCAGTTCCTGGAGAAGGACATTATGTTTGGTAAAGTGGAGGGTCAATGAAAAAGAGGAAGAACCCCAACAAAATGGATTGATTCTGTGGTAGCATCAATCAGCGCAAATGTAACAGTGGTGAGGCTGGTGCAGGACTTGGCAGTGTATCGTTCTAGTGTGCATACAGTCGCTATGAGTTGGAACTGACATGATGGCAGCTGACAACATGAATCCAGGGTCCCAGTGGGGCAGCTGGAATGTCCATGACAATCGTTGGGGTGGTGGAGGTAGGGGGAGCTGAACTCATATCCAGTTGGACTCCCCAGGGAAGGAATATTTTCAAGAGTCTGAGGGAAAGACCTTCTGGCTCTATTCATATCTCTCGGCAGCCTCTGGAGTACAAGTGATCTGAACTATTTCTAGATCTTTGGGTTTCTTGGGCAGCTAGGGGGCTTTTGGTCTTTAGTCTTTGGAGGGCAGAGTATGTGGTCACTCTACAGTCACTATAGGGGTGGGCTGTCTGTCAAAGCGCCACCATCTCTAACAGTTTGCTGGTAAGAAAATCCTCTGGTTCACAGATTGTGGCTACCTGTGCAACTTCACTGGTATGGGGTCTTCCTATAGCAGTTATATATCTCCTGCAGCCTGGGGACACTGGCACCCAGACATAACACTTGTCTTGTAGATTAAGTACTGTCTTCTGTGGCCTCTAGGCAAATGCTAACTCTCACCACCTCCACCATAGGCATTATACAATAGCTACATGTGGTCAAAAGAAATGAATGAGAAACACCGAAATGTGGAACAAGAATTGGAGACTGTTGTGTATGCCTAAGGGAAAGTGGCTTAGGATAGGATTCTGGCATTCTCCTTCTCATTACAAGTTACCTGCTCCAAGTGAGGACACCTGGAGCTCCAGACCGCCACATTGCTGGGAAGCCTATTGCATTTGAACTTGCTATGTTAGGGAGGTGAGAAAGGGCAGACTTGATGAGAAATGTGTGGTTAGGTGTCATTTGTGAGAGAAACTGAAGGTATGCTAGAAGAGGGACCAGTGGTGGCATTATCATGCCTGGGCAAGATACTCTGACTCCACAGCCAATGCACTGTTTACCTCTGTGGGCAATGGGCACCTCTCAGAGGTGGGAGTGTCACTCCTAGACAGAGAAATCTCAAAAACTTTCTTGATCCTGGAAGTTACATATAACCCTCACATTGCTCTTGGGCCTTGCTGGAGTTTGCAACTCTGGACAGGATAAAGAAAGGAGTAAAACATCCAACGTCAAAGCCAATGAACTGATGGGAAGGACCTTTTCTTTGACATCACCTAGTTACCTTCTGGCCATCATCCCTCCCAGACCTCTCTGTCTTCTGAAAGCTGTTCCTTTAGATGTGCTTCATCCCATCAGTCCCTGGGCTGCAGTGGAACAGGTACTCTGGCTCATCCTCAGGCCTCAGACAAAGAGCCCACAGTGCTTCTGAGAAGCAGACCCAACTGCCCACTGCCTGGGCATGCTGGCTGGTCCCTGGCTTTGGCCAGGAGAGAAGATGGATGGAGCGGCCTACTGCCAACAGTACATTTTTCCATGCACAGCCTGGGCTGTTGCAGGACCAAGGTGGCTGTCTGGTAGACTGGCACAGTGAGCCTCTGTCTCTATTTCTCCTTCTTCCAGACTGGGCACCTTGGCAGACAAGAGGCGCTTTCCTCTTCAAAACATAGCTTTCCAAGGGCCTGCATATCCTGCCCAATTTAGCTTCTCCTTAGGATCCATGCCTGCTGAAAGAGTTTGGTGGGGAGCTTATGCTTCTCCTTACCTCACCTCCTACCTGTAGCAATGATACTCCAGAACTATACACTCTTCAAACTTGTCCCATCATGCTGAGACCCTCCTGTGCTCAGTGTGGTAAGGTGGAAAGTTTCTAGGTCTGACTGACTTGGGGGAGCCTACTCTGGACCTACTGTGCTTCCTCTTCTCCACGCTAGAGAGATCAGAGCCAACCCCTAACTCAATACACAGCTCCCTGGCCATGACCAATTCTCTATATTCCTCTTTGTTTACTCCTCTTTGCCCAGCAACAGACATACATGTGCGCGCGTGCGTGCGTGCACACACACACACACACACACACACACATTAACTACTAATAACAGCATGTAGGGCTCACAGTTCCTCTCCAGGAGAGATTGCAAGGACACCTGGGGCTAGAATGGTGGGGGATATGCGAGTAGGAGAGACCTAGCTTCTCTAAATATCTGAGCTTCACTTTTTCCTGCCTGAGAATTGGAGGTTCCCTCCAACTACAATAAAAGCACAGCACAGGAAAGTAGAACTCTGGAGCCCCTCTCTTTTTCTTTCCCTTTAGCCCTCTACAGCATCCCTGGGACCAGTGTACAGATGGGGAGAGTGAAAAGTGCCTTCTCCCTTCCTGCCCTCCTCCCCATTCTCTAACCCTTCTTTTACTTCCTTTATGGAACTATAAGGGATAGAATTTGAAATAAAATGACTAAACTTACCTTGAGTTGAACCTTTCAGAGAGTGGCCACGTTCCTCTGTCTGGCCTCCTTGGGTTGGAGCGTTTGTGAGAGAGAGAAAGAGGAAGCGAGAGTGAGTAAGTGTCTACTGAGAGTGTGCGTGTCTATGCCAGGCCAGGGTCCCGCCCCCAAATTCCTAATCAAATATTGTGGAGAGAGGGGCTGAGGAGCTGGGATCCTGGTTTTTTCAGCTCTGCTGCAGGGCGGAGTGCATACTCATGGTGCAAAACCCTTCTGTCCGCCTGAGGCTGTAAAAACCACCTTTTTCCACACACTTATCTTTCCCGAAGCATTGGCAGCTCTGGGATTGTCTCTGCTGAATGAGTTAGTGGCATCCCAGAAGTTATTTGTACAGTCTCTTAGGAGGTGCCTGGATTGCTCATTAAATCCACAAGGGAAAATGCAGGCATGGGGTGGGCCAGGATTTAGGAAGAGGAGGCCTCTGAACTCCTTCAGTAGCACAAGTGTCCCCTGGAGAACGAATACCAACTTTCTTGGCTTGAGCATCCCCCTCAAGGCATGTGGCTGGGCTAGTGGATAAGGCAACACGACATAGGACAGCTGCCTCTGGCTATCTCTGACCAGTGTCGACTTCTCTGGGATATGAATTAATTTTTTTTTTTTCCTATTGGAATCAATTAAAAAGAAGGGAGTCTAACATTTGTCAAGGCCACCTTGCACTAGCCTCATCTACTTTTAGTTAATTCTCATAACCACCTTAGTGGCTAACAATATTTACCTTTTTATAGCCAAGACCATGTAAAATAGTGTGTGAGCCACCTGGCCACGCACGGAGTTGATGCTCAGTATATAGGGGAGATTATTACTGTCATACCCACTTTATAGCTGTAGAGTCCCGGAGTACAGGGAAGATGAGGCTGGAGAAGTAGCAGGAGATAGATTCTAAAGGAACTTGTAGGCCATGGAAAGGATTTGGGTTGTATTCTATTTCTAAATGTTTAGAAAGCAATATAGTTTAAGTATGAGGAGCTATGAGATCTGATTTACCTTTTTAAAACCCCATGGACAGGGCTGCTTTGTGGACCATGGGAGGTGAGAGTTGCAGCAGGGAGACTGTGACTCAGCCTTGCTGAGAAATGATGGTGGCTTGGGCCAGTCCAGTGGTGGAGAGAGAGAACTTACAAGTCTTACAGACGCATCAGACATGAGGAGTTAGGGAAAGACAAACAAAGTCAAAGATAACTTGTACATATTTGGTTTGAGCAACTGGGTGGGTGGTGGCACCATGTTCTGAGATGGGAAAAATGAGGGGCGAAACCAAAGCAATGGATGGAAAACCCAAGTTAGCTTTTTGTTGCTTAGTTAGAGAGGGCCATTAGACATTTCAGGGGAGAGGTAAGCAGGCAGTTGGGTTTATGAATCTGAATTTGAAGTGTAGGAGCTGGAAGAAAACCTTGCAAGCCATTAGAGTTCAGATCACCTAGTAACTCCACGGCACTTAGCAACAACAACAACAACAGTGTGGAGCTGAAGGGTAAAGTGTAGGGCTATGAAGTGGGTTTGAACCACAAGGTCTGTGGTTCAAACTTACCAGCCACTCCTTGGAAACCCTATACAGGGTCGCTATGACTTGTAATGACCCGATGACGCTTAACAACAACAATACACATTAGGACTTTTTTTGTTGTGTTGTTAAGTTGGTTCCAACTCATAGAGAACCCTGTACAGGGTTTTCAAGGAGTGGATGGTGGATATGAACTGCCAACCTTGATGTTAGCAGTCTAGTGCTTATTTTACAGAGCCACACCAGTGACTCTTAATGTCATATTGTTGTTGTTGTTAAATGCCATTAAGTCAGTTCTGACTCAGCAACCTTGTATACAGTTTCCCAGGTGCAGCTGGTGAACTTGAACCTCCAACCTTGTGGTTCAACCGACTTTGCAGTCCAGTGCATTAACCCTCAGCACCATAGCAGGATTCCTTTTACTGTATATTGCCTGTCAGAAATAGAGGGGAATGTCCTGATTGCTTCTCAGGAGTTACGAATACTTTGAAAAAAGGACAAACATACTGAATGGACCTTTGCTAACCACCGACTGTAAAATAGGTAGTATATGGAATCTCATTGAATGACCCAATAGGCATTTTGCATTCAAAATAGGGTCTCAGAGGTGTAAAGTGACTAGTTGATTGAGGGATCAAAAAGGATTAGGAACTATGGTCTACATGACTCCCACTCTTTCCCACAATTCTAGATGAGAGGACTGCTGGAGTGGAGGGCTGGTATTCATGACTACCATGCTGTCAGAGTGGGATTCTACTATAGTGTTGTTGTAAAGTGCCATCGACTCGCTTCTGACTCAGAGCGACCCTGTATAGGGTTTCCAAGGGAGTCCTGATGTAGCCCTGTAAGATTAGCACTGAACCACAAGATCATAGAAAATCCTATACAGGGTTGCTATGAATCAGAACCAACTCGATGGCACTTAACAATAACAACAACAACAACAAATCTTTACAGGAGCAGAAAGCCTCCTCTTTCTCCTGCAGAACAAATAGCTAGTGGGTCCAGACTGCTAACCTTGTGGTTAGTGGCCCAACATATAACCCACTATGCTACAAGGGCTCCTTGGATCCCTAAAATAGAGCCTGTAATGGTTAGGGTTCCATGTCAGTGTGATTAGGCCAGGATTTCCAGAGGTTTAGTAGTTGGCATGTGCTTATTCCCATGCTGTTGAAATCTAATCCAGGCATAGTTAGCTCTATGATGAGTGGCTGGCTATATGTAGCCAATCAATTAAAGGGATGCTTCCTTGGGATGTGGCCTGCTCCCATTATAATGGACACAAAGGAAAGTCTTTCTCTCTTCCACTGGAGACATGGGACTCTACAATTGTGAGCCATTTCTTAGATAATAAACTTCTCTGGTGTGGCGTTGCAGGATAATGTGCTGAACTGCAAATGTGGTTTGAACCGCAAGGTTGGTGGTTCAAACTCTCCAGCCACTCCTTGGAAACCCTGTACAGGGTCGCTAGGAGTCAGAACTGACTTGATGGTATTTAGCAACAACAACAACAACATATATATAAATATGTATGTTTCACTGTTTTTCCGTCTCTAGAAAACCCTGCATACGACAGAGCCCACCTAATTACAGTGGTTCAGTCTGCTTGAATCTGGAGACAAACCCAAAATAGTTTGTTGACTATTTTTAAAGCAGTTTTCCTATTTCAGGATAGGCCAGGGAGGAGGAATGGATTTAGAAGTTGCTTGGGACCAGGATGGGAGGCAGAGTTTCAAGAACTATCTGCTCTTCAGAAGTTCCTCTTTTAATGGGTCCTAACCTCCATTTTCTACCACCTGTCAGTTTGTGATACTGTGGTGGCTTGAATGTTGCTATGATGCTGGAAGCTATGACTCTGAGATTTCAAATATCAACAGGTACCCTGATACATGATGGACAGGTTTCTGTGGAGCTTCAAGACTGAGACTAGGAAGAAACGTGTAGTGATCTACTTCCCAAAATTGATGGTGATGGTTATGTGCTGTGGAGTTGGTTCCGACTTATAGAAACCCTGTACAGGGTTTCCGAGGCTGTAAATCTTTACAGGAGCAGAAAGCCTCATTTTTCTCCCATGGAACAGCTGGTAGTTTCAAACTGCTGACCTTAAGGTTCGCAGCCCGATTCATAACCACTACGCTACCAGAGCTCCTTAAAATTGGTCAGTGGAGATCCTGTGAATCTCAACAGAACATTGTTCCATGCAGTGTTGGAAGATGAACCCCCTAGATTGGAAGGCATTCATACGCAATGGACTCAAGCACATCAGAGTGGGCACAGGACCAGACAGCATGCTGTTCTATTCCACATGGGAGCACCATAGTTGGAGCTGATTCAACAGCAACCAACAACAAGAACCTCCATTTGGAAGAGGACCACTCTGTTTGCTTGCTTCCTGGACTCAGGCCCTGAGAGCTTGCCTTGGGTAAACTTCCATGCTGATGTCCCCCAGATTGCTAAGGGAGTCCACATGTGAAAGAGACCCCTTTGGGACAGTGGTGCTTTCTGGAAGTTGTCAAGCCAAAACTAGTCAGTCATTAGACTGCAAGCACATTAAAGAGAAAGGCTGTGTTATTCATTTCTGAAGCCTCTGCTTCCAACTGGGCATATAATGCCTGGCGCTTAGTAGGCAATCAATAAAGTGTTATGAAAAAATTGTATTTTTGGCTCCCACAGAGTCTGCCTGTCTTCAGTACCCATGCTGGATGGAATAACCACCACCAACCAGACCAGAAAAACTCTTAGACCGTCAAGCCAATTAGATTTTCTAGGGGTTCAAGTCACTGCTCTTCCCTCCCCACCCAGAAAAGTCCAGGTTAAGCCACAACCACTAGGCAAGGCTGCTTGTTTGTGATATTGGACCCACCCTGTCTGGGGAGGACAAACTGCTTTCTGACCCAAATCCTACCAGCAAAGACACTTCTGAGGCAGCCCACCTCTTCTTCATGCCCCACGGGGGCCAGCAATCCCCATTTTTATAATATAACCTCTGGTCCCAGACTGGCAGGAGGAGAGTGGTAAGACTGAAAATGTACTCAAACAGAGTTCTTGAAGTGGGTATAAAGTGGTTGAAAGAAAGATGATCCTGGTGAAACAATCTTGGCCTTACTGCTGGCCCATCCTGAAAACTCTTGATGCCAGAGAGGAAGCTTCTATGGAAAATTTGGCTACACTGCTGCCCAACAATGGTGTTCCAAAGTTTCCAAGGAAGGTGTTTTCTTTACTTCCTTGGTACTAAGGGGTCATTAAAAGTCGTACCATTGGATCATCTCTTCTTTCCAGAAGGATGAAAGCCACGTATATTAGAACTGTGAGGAGACTTATACTGAAATAGGAAGAAGACCTCAGGTTCCAAGTTCTGGGAGATACATTGAGTTGTTTCAGAATTTCTTTCTAATAAGTTGTTTAAGAATAAGACAACTTTTCTATTTTTAAAAATTAAATTAAATTTGTAATCATTTATTTTATTTTGTTGTTGCTTAGAATACACACAGCAGAACCTACACAATTCAACAATCTCTATGTGTACAACAGTGACTTTGGTTAGATTCTTTGAGTTGTGCAACTATTCTCGTCTTCCTTTTCCATTAACATGAATTCACTGCCCCCTAAGTTTCCTGTCTGATCTTTCCAGTTGCTGTTGTCAATTTGGTCCCATGCGAAAAGAACCAGGATGTGGTGCTATAGGATAAGCACTGGACTGGAAACTGCAGCAGTTCAAACCCACTAGCTGCTCTCGGAAACCCCACACAGGGTTACTCAGAGCTGGAACCCACATGAAGTCACACAACAATAGATCTTAAAAAAGCTTAGTGATGAAAGGACAAGCAGACCAGCATGGAGCAGCTAGAAGACCAGAATA